TGTACTTGAGTAAAAATGAAGACAGCTTATTAGAAGGTGATGCAATAATAGTGCAATTCCCTTAACAGAATTTGGCTGAAATATTAATGGAGATGAATAGAGGTTCTGAGGTCCGAAATTAGAAGCAAAAGCTGTAAATATTCAAACAAAGTACATTAAAAAGCTGAGAGTGTTGTTAGTGTGTGTAGTGTGGGAAATTTTACACAATTAGTTAACACAAAAACAGTATTTTAAGTGTAGTCTAACAGTAGCAGCATTTGTACCGTTTCAAATAAATGCTGTTCTTTTGATCTATTCATTTAAAGAATCCTGAAAAAAAAATGTTATGGTTAAAACTTAAAAAAAAAAAAAAAACTTACGAGCCCAAACGTTTGAATGGTTTAGTGTAATTAAAACTCATCTTGCAGTTTATGAAAAAGAACATGTATGATTGTCCTATAGACTTGCATTGTAAGTCCATAACTTGTTTAAAATTGAATATTCTTTTGAAGTGAGCAAGTGGTATGACTTTATGTGTTCTGCTCCTCTCTTACTTTGTTTCCACAGGAGTTCTTCCTAAATGTTAAAGATATTCTGAGGAGCCCTACAGACATCACTGGCCAGTTTGAGAAATGGGAAGCTGAGGAGATTGAACTAAACAAAAGGTGATGCATATGTTCCTGAAGACTACATTGTCTTTCTCTTAAAAGTAAAGCTTTATCACTCATTACGGTCATTTGTGTGTGTTTGTGTAGCTTCTATGTGAAGAAAACATCAGTTCACGAGGCGCTGTGTGACAACATAGACACTCGTTCGGCTCTGGAGGAGATGCGGGCTCTTGTTGGTCAGAGTAACACCTACATGGCTGCCAGAAGGAGTGCAAAACTACCGCCTAACCGCATGCTGCTGCAGAGCATTGCCCTGTACTTGACCGACATGCTTAAGGTAGCATAACAAAAAAGTAGTTATACAGAGCTTGACTTTGGACATAATAGATACCTGGAGACAACAAGAGAACGCTTGTTTCTGTAGTATCTCTAAAATTCTTTACCCATATTGCTACATTTAAAACTAAACATCTGGTCCTCTCCTAAAATCTGAATTTTTTTAATTTTAAGAGACAGAAACCGAAACAATGGATGCACATTGAAGTGCTTGCTAAAACTGTTTTCTGCTTTGACAGACATTTGGAGCGATTGAGGGAAGTGAGCCCATTGGCTTCCCTGTTGGAGGAAACGGACAGAATGCTGATGTAAGCAACACCACTCAGATCATGTTTGATTCATCTAAGGTTTTCCTTTTAATTTCTGTTCCAAAGCCAGACTTGTGAAGACATGTCATTAAAGATTCAATGTAATAATGCTTTTTTTTTTTTTGTGGATTATTGTCCGCCATAATGACTAATCTGTCATTAAACTCCTCTTAATCTTTTAATTTCTGTTTCAGTTGGAGAGCACAGTCATGCCCTATTTGTCAGTGCTGTCAGATTTCAGAGAAGATGTGAGAAAAATTGCAAGAGAGAAAAAAGGTAAATCTCTCTGTGTTTTTTTTATTAATATATTAGTGCAAAGACCTACAATGTGTACTCAAGTCATTTGGTTTGTTCTAATTTATTTCTTTATAGGATTTGTTTCCTTTTTTATGGGTGTTGTTGTAGCTATACCTCCAATAGACATTTGCATATAATACAGATTGTGCTTTTTATGCAGAAAAGAGAATTCCTTAGCGAAATGTGTTTGTTTTCCAGTGACAGAATTGCTGCGGCTGTGTGATGAATTGCGTGATGATACTTTACCTGAGCTGGGTGTCCGATTGGAGGATCGTGATGGTAAATGAAAGATACAGAGATTTTATTAAACCCTGAATGTCATGGAAAATGACAGTGTTCTTTGTTGTTTTTCTAAGGACTTCCCACATCTGTGAAATTGGTGGACAAAGAAACACTTCTGAAGGAAAGAGAAGAGAAGAAGAAGGTAATTGCAGAATCCATCTATATGGCAGTATACTGTGATATCTCTACTTGATTTATCTGGTGTAGATTTTCTATCTCTTTTCACATATAGTACTGCCAGAGGTGTGCTGGTCTGCAGTACACCTTAAGTTAAAATTAGTCATTAATCAGATCAAAATTATCTCTACACCAGGGTAAGGTGATACGTTCCTTCTGTCAATGGAAAAAAGTTTCTTACCATATCAGGCATCACAAAAGTAATTATTCAAATGCAAACCAGGTCATGAAAAATGTATTTAGGCCTTTCGAGCTTGTCAGTGTAAATGACAGTCTTTAGAATTAATTGTAAGGACTCAAGTTGCACCGGTTTATTGTTGTACCTTCTTTGAATTACTCCTTTGAACCTTGTATGCACGCTTACAGCTCTGGACACATTCTGCAGATCAATCATGATCCACCTGAGATGGTCACAGCAAATAGTGTTTCTAAAAAAAGGAGGGGGGGGCATCCCGGAGACTTTATCTATTTGTTTATGAGCATCAGAGCATCTTCATGTTTGAAAATTAAAATACACTATGAACACACTACTGTTCAAAAGTGCTCGGTAAGATTTTTAAAAAAATAATTAAAATAACTTCAATTTCTATTTTAACATTTTATTATGTTATTTATTCCTTTGATGGGAAAGATGAATTTTCAGTCTCCAGTCTTGAGTGTCACATGATCCTTCAAAAATCATTCTAATATGCGGATTTGATGCTGAAGAAACATTTATTATTATCAGAAACATTTATTATTTTATTGAAAACAGTTGTGCTGCTTAATATTTTTGTGGAAAGCATGATAGGTTTTATTCAGGATTTTTGGAATTTCAAAAGTACAGCATTTATTTGAAATGAAAATCTTTTGTAACAATGTAAAAGTCTTTATTGTCATTTTTAATCAATTTAATTTAATTTCATCCTTGCTGAGTTAAAGTATTAATTTCTTAAAAAAAAACAAAAAAAAAACTTACAGATCCCAAACTGTACTGTAAATATTTGGTCAATTTTAAATGTTATATTAAAAGATCCAATTATTATTTTGTTGTTTCATGTTAATGTAAATTTGTACTTAATTCTTATATTCCACTTATTCTTTCATGTTTCAAGATGGAAGATGAAAAGAAAAAGAAAAAAGAGGAGGCTGCCAGGAAGAAACAAGAACAAGAGGTGATTAGAACAATTGCAGAAACCCCCTGACACACTTCATAATTTAGTCACCCTTCATGTAAACAGTCTCTCACGGCTATTGATATATATTTTTGTTGCATTTAAATACATTGAGAGAAGTGTATTCTTGTTAGTGCTTGGTTGTTCTGAATTGTTTGTATTATAAATATTTGTATATTTTATGTCATAGATGGCAAAGCTGGCAAAAATGAAGGTTAAACCCAGTGAAATGTTCCGGTCAGAGACTGACAAGTATTCCAACTTTGATGAAACGGTAATGCAAACCATTTAGTCTTCTTTCTCATAAGATACACTCTTTTATGTCACAATACTGTATGTTGGATCCATTTTTTGATTACGTGATTATTGGTCTATAAGGGATGGATGAGTCCTTATGAATTTTTAATCATTTGGTCACATCTATTCAGAAATGCTAATCGTATGTCTGTTCTTTGCTTATACAGGGCTTCCCAACGCATGATGCTGAGGGAAAGGAGCTCAGTAAGGGACTGGCCAAAAAGCTTCGCAAGCTTTACGAGGCTCAAGAGAAGCTGTATAATGAATACCTCCAATCGACCCAGAACGGGAGCTGAGAACCTGATGTGTTGAGTCTGGTGTGACCTGTCCGCCCTTACTGTCTGTTGTGAACTTGTCTTGTGTATGTGAAAAGGCAGCAAAACTTAAAGACCTCATCTGTGAGTTTTGGCTCTAAACTATGGCAAGGTTTTGCCCAAATCCTTCTGGTCATGTTTGGAAGGTTGTTTTTTTGATGCTCTGCGAAGTATTTTATGACTATGATATTAAGGGTATATACTTTTCATTGTGTGTTTTCTGCACACATAGAACAAAGATGCAAGTATATCAGAACTTTTCTAATATGGGTTTGGTGTTTATATGATGTATGCAAGAAATATTTAGCTGTTCATGTGGAAAAGGAACAAACATTCAATGTTTTCATTAATGATTTTTTAAATCTGGCTGGTCAAAGAGGTGTTTTCTCCAAAACACTGTTTACAGATCAACTAGTGATAAATATGATTCCTCCTGAATCAAAAAAATCTCAGATGATACAGGAATGAAGGGACTTCAGGTTTGTAGGTTTACAACAAATGGAAAAACAGAGGCATACATAGGAGCACCAATTATTGTTATTGTTAACATACTCTTTATAAGAACATGAAATTCCAAAATAAAAAAGGATTTTGAATAATGTGTGATGCTTATTTGTCCCTAGTACCTTATTTCTGCAAAAGTTGCCATAAAGACTTCTCTATAAAAGTTTTGTTCATACAGTTGTCTAATATTGTGCAAACAACTACAGATATTTAGTTTACAGTCATAAAACATCTGCACAGAGCTTCACATAAACCTGCTGAACATATCGAACTGAATAATTGCTTCATGAATCGTACGGCATCAATACGAGCGGTTTTAGAGTGAACCGAGTCAAATACTGCGAACAAAGACTCCGAACCAAGAACCGTCATGTCCGATTCGGAGCTTAGCAGAAATGTTACAAATAAAACGTGCTTGAAATGCATTATTAAAACATGCAATTCATTTTAAGAAGACACATTGTTTTTGCATTACTTAATGTAAGTGCAAATAATATAGGTTCTAAATTATTTTCTGTATCCTATTCGTGGTTGGAACAAATTAAAAAAACTAAGACACATGAAAGTAAAATAAACAGCTTTTTTGGAATGGTTCAGAGCATGTAGTATGCTACTCACCGATGTCCGGGACCATATCGGCGTAAAAGAATCGCCGATATCCGACACATTTCAGAGAATCGGTTCTTTTGAACAAAACATGTCAAAGAACCGATTCAACCCGGCAGAGTATTCGACTGAGGCGGAGTATTATTGGACCAATGCGCTTTAGCTTTACTGCCGAGTCCATCAGCTGAACAACACCCGCTGATTCAGGTAAGAAAAGCAATCTCTCAAAATAAAATCTTACTTTCTTCTTTGCATTTGACCTGAAATACATATTATGAGTGGCCAGTTTACGTCAAGCAGAATGGATTATTTTTTCCGTGGCTGTAAATGCATGATACTAGTGTGCTGCTTGTGCTCTCACTGCATGTCATCTTTGTTTTGATAAAGTTGCGAGTGACTGCTACAAATTGTTACAGTTTACATGTCAGTTAACGAGCAATAACCCTGTAACCTGTTAACCGCAGCAGAAATAGTCAAAGCTCATACACGGAGTGTGTTTTGTGAGGGTCTGTTAGCCCGCTAGCCTGTGACATTTACAGTTCACCCGTCTTCAGTGCTGGTTTGGAGATCTTCCAGTGCCCGCCTTCTGTCACTGCTATGACCCCCTCCATCAGCTGTGCTAAACTGGTGGTTGCGGAGATTATGAGATCTGATTTAATCTGTTATGATCTGGATGTGGCTAGTTTAGCGTGTTAGCCGCTAGGGTGAGTGTATCTCTGATGGGCGTCAACATAAACACATCTGTTTGTACCTTTATTTTGAGCTGCTGGTTTTAATTTTGGCAGTTTTGCTGCTTGCTAAACATTAGAAATGTAAACGTATCGCTTCTTGTAAATAAGGAATGTTTGGCTTTCTCTTACCAGCCTTTACTATGGTAAGCAAAGTTATAAATAGCAAATTAATAAAACATGCATTTGGGATCTTTTCAAGCTAAGAATTTTTCAAAATCTTTCGTTATTTATTATTATTCCGATTAGCATGCGTCATTCTTTATTATAATTCCTATAATAATAATAATTATTGTTATTATTATTATTGGGCTCTAATAACAAGTTATCTGTTTTATTTTAGTAGTATAATAATGATACGGCTGTAACTATGGAATAACCATGTTAAATGTCTAGCTTGTGGGTTTTGCTTTGAAAATATTAATAATAATAATAATAATAATAATAACTCAAATATGAAGCAAGCACTGCAACGTCAGTTAAGTCTGTGGGTTTTGCTTTGAAAATATTAATAATAATAATAATAATAATAACTCAAATATGAAGCAAGCACTGCAATGTCAGTTAAGTAGCAATTATTTCAATGAATTGATTCAAATATAATTTTTTTTAACATAACTGGACTCCAGGTTGGTTTTTATGGTTAAAAATGTCCCTCAAAATAAATGTTTTGCATTGTGGTCATTTAAGTTCATTACACTGTTGTTTTGGTTGTGCAAAGCATCACCTGTTTTTACTACAAATGCATTTGTTTTTATAAATATGATTGAAATGTCTAGATAATTAATATATATATGTAATTTTGTCTTTACCAATAGAAAAAAAAAATTCTTTTAGACAAGCTGAAGTTGTATGTTGTGTTTTTCACAGAATATTTGAGCTGTGGTATCAAGATGGATGCTGACAATGAAGCCAAAGGTATAGAAAGTATGAATTCCTTTGAAAAAAGAAAGTATGAAAAAGCAACCTTGCATTTTTCACATGAGCTATACCTTGTATAGTCTGTATAGCTTTTGAAATGCTGACACATTTATGAACTGGAAGGGAACATGATTTTATGTGTTACTTAGATTGTCTTGTAAATTATTTTTTGATTCAGGGTGGTTCTCAAACAAAAGCCTGTATAATGTTTCAGTGTAAAAGTTTCATGAAGCTTCAGCACATCACTGCTGCCAGTGATTTAATGGAAAAGATTGTCTCATAGGTTCTTCTAAGAAATTTGTGCAATCTCACAAACCTACTGAGAGCGATATCAAAGCAGAAACAACCAAATTTGAAACAATAGTGCTGTGTTTCACTGTGCTGAACATGATTTTATGCTTCCTTTAAGATGGATGTCTGTTTGTGGAAAGGACTGTGTGCAGTATAAACATTCTTTGAGAGTTGATAGTCATAAATGCCATTGATTTTGCCATTGATTCATTTTTTTTTATGCTGGTGATGGCATGTTATTTTCAGGGAAGGTGAGCGACCAGGCGATGCAGAACCCACAAGCGTTGGCAGCTCTTCAGGACAAAATAGACAGTGTCTCACATAGTGCTTCCATCATGGACAGGTAAGCAAGATGAAACACTAAGGCTTTTCTTACAAACCAAACTAGTAACTTGGAACCATAGAGACTAACAGGGCAAACAACAATTTTGCACCTCATTGTTTTTATTTCTGGACATGGCATGGTCATGTCTTTTTTCCCCCCCCTATCTAAACTATTTCCTAACTGGATTTGGCTCATATTTCCTGTGTGAATTCTAAAACTGGGCATTGTATTTTTATTGTTCGTCATGTTACATAGAGAGACAACATTGCTGCTGTAATATAACCATCCATCTAAGGGGGAAAAACTCTAGTCCGACCATCTGCCTGTAACCTGAAATCTGCCTCTGCATGTTAGGTTATAACTAGGGATGTAACGATAAACCGCCAGCCGGTTGAAAATCGATTTAAATATGTGACTAAAAATATGTGTTAAATATTCAAATCGGTTGAGATGCTAAACAAATCGCGATTCAGTTAGGGGTAGGAGTTTATATGAATGTATGTCTGAGGGGAACTTACTGTCTTTCGATGGTATTTTTTCTTTTCCTCTTGCCTCTGTATAATGCATATTAAAGTTCATAAGTGCAGCCATAGTGCTGCTTTGTTTACAGCAGAAACCAAGGAAACGCTTTAAGCGCCACCTGCTGGCAGAGAGTGAATCTGCGTCTCATCAGCTCAGCTGTTTCTGTTTCATGCAGATATTTTTTAATGCATAGTTTCACAAAACTGAAGTCAAACCATTCTATTTTTGATTCAAATTTAGAAATTATACAATGTAATTTAGATGAAAAACTGTGTATATATATATGTATGTATTTATTTTAGCATTATATTTTTACATTGTGGAATACACCTGTTAGGTGCTTTCTTCGGTTACTCCTTTATGTAGCCGTAACTTTTTAGCCATAAGCAGATAATATAATATGCAATATATATTTAAATATGCTACCATTCAAAACCTTAAATTTTTTGAAAGAAATTAATAATTTTATTTAGCAAGGAAAAATGTAATTAATCAAAAGTGGCTGTTAAGACATTTGTTACAAAAGTTTTTTTTTTTTTTTTTTTTAATAAATGCTGTTCCTTGCAAATCCTGAATAAAATGTATCACAGTTTCTACAAAAAATATTAAGTAAATATTAAATATCAACTGTTTTCACCTGAAATGTTTCTTGTTCTCATCAGACAAACAAAAACATGAATAAAATCTTACCAACCCCAAACTTTTGAATGCTAATGATCTCAGACAGTACTTAAAACTAGTGTATTGTTGACAATGACAGACTCACTGAAGATGGGTCCAAGTATGAAAAGAAAGATGAGGATGCATTGGGTCTGTGTAAAGTAGACCTTGGATTTTCTATAAACGGAGCTCTCAGGTAAATGGTGAGGAAAGTGAGTGAAAAGAAAATTCAGAGAATTCTGAAGTGATGGACGCATAAAAAGAGATTTCCTCTAAACCAGGAGAATGCATACTTTGATTTAATAGTTTTAGAAAGTCCCTGAAAAATAAAGAGTTTAAATTAAACATATGCCACAACATACACCTCTTGACAGTGCTGCTACACAAAAGAAAGAGAGATACTGGTACAAACGAAATAAAATAATAAAATATAATATAATAACAAGACCCTGTTGAATGCTTGCAAGAATAATACTGTTAAATTGGGGAAAAATGCTATTTTTTTTAAGAATTGTATAAGAGTTTGTGCTCTTAAATGCACTGAAAATCTTTGTTAGTATTCTTATATTTAAAGTTGCCACAGTCGTTATATACTTTGTATGTGCTGTACTTTATTTGTTCCATTTTGTTTACCTTTTAGAATTTAAAAGATCAAGAATTTGTAGTTCTTGAAAAAAATAGTGCTTAAAGTTCTTGAACGACAGCATCTGTACTGTATACAGTATCTGTTCCTCTGTGTCCTGTAGGTTTCAGTATGGCTCCAAAGCACACAAAACCTCTTGAGCGGAATGTGAACACTCCTCTCATTTGTCTGGATGGGTAATATGATATTCTTTCACAAGTGGACTTTTTTGTGTGTTTCCAGAGAAGAAACATTGTCTCTGGAGAAGTGGAACCCACTGATGAGGAGTGTGAATGGCAGAGTGACCATGAGGATGAAGCAGCATTAGCAGTGAGAATAATCTGTCCACTCACATTGAAATCAGACAGAAGAGCGGTACTCTAAGAGAGACCTTTCTTTTTCAGGAAGATCTGAAGAAGAAAGCTGCTATAGAGGAAAAGACAGAAGATGCTAATGAGGAGAAACCCAAAGGAGTTCCAGAGTTTTGGCTCACCATATTCCGGAGTGTGGACATGTTGAGTGATATGCTGCAGGTGAACCAGCAGAACATTAGATATTCCTCTATTCTTTTCTGAGTAATGATTATTTAATGTTTTCTTTTGCCCTGTAACCTTGTAAAGACAATATACAGCTTTATATTATATGAATAGGAATACTGTTAGATAGTTATGAATACAATTTCATGAAAAGACATGGTAATGTTCAGACACCACATATTTTACAGCACATTTGAAATGAAAAGAAAACCTATGCTGTCTATAATGTTCTCTTTCTTAACAGGAGCATGATGAACCGATACTTAAACATCTTCAGGATATTAAAGTGATATTTTCTGGTCCTGATCAACCCATGGTAATGACAATATTTGAAGTTTTTATGTTGATTTTAAAGTGAACCCTGTGAACTGAACTGAATTTTTAAACCTCTTTTACACAATATGAAGGTCTTGTCATAACTGCTGTACAAATCGGATCATTTTAATTGTACTTAAATGTATTTTATTATTACTTTTTTTATATATATATACAGAGCTTCACATTAGAGTTCCGTTTTGAACCCAATGAATACTTCACCAACACAGTTCTCACAAAAGTATACAAGATGAAGTCGGAGCCAGATGAAGAGGATCCGTTTTCATTCGAGGGACCAGAAATCATCGACTGTGATGGGTGAGCACTTCTCAAACAATACCTGCTCAGATTGTCAGCAGCTTTTCACACTTTCATTATTCATCTCTCTCGTTGGCAGGTGTGAAATTGATTGGCACAAAGGCAAAGATGTGACGGTAAAAACGATCAAGAAGAAACAGAAGCACAAAGGCAGAGGGACAGCGAGGGTCATCACCAAACAAGTGCCCAATGACTCCTTTTTCAACTTTTTCAACCCTATTAAAGGTACGCAACATGACAGATGTGCTTATGAACTTTTAGAATAACAGGAGAATAGACCAGTAGGTTGAATTGTACACTGGTAAATCATAAGGTGCACTGCACTGCATGGCATGAGTGTGTCACGATAATTCTCAGTATGGTTTATTCTTAATATTTATTCTCTCATTTAGATGTTTTCATACTGTAGGTTTACTCTTTTGCTAGTTCATGAAGTCACCAATATTTCTTTTCTTTTAGTTTCACCAGATAGAGAGTTGGTGAGTATTTTGTCTCTTTATTCTTTCTGGTTTTAACTCATCCATAGCTTGGCATTTATTTGGCCTGATATCAATTATATATATAGCTTTTGAGTGTCAATAAATAAGTTGTTGTCTGCCTTATCCAGCATTATATCTTCTGATAGACATGAGTGGTTAGTTTACTTTGAAAGTTTAGAGAACCTTTTCAGAGAAATAATCAGACTTCATTTTCATCTTCGCATTATCAGAAAAGTTGTGTTCTTTTGCTTTGTGTTCAACAGGATGAGGATTCAGAGTACACTTTAGCCACAGATTTTGAAATCGGTCATTTCTTCAGGGAAAGGATCGTTCCGAGAGCAGTTTTGTATTTCACAGGAGAAGCTCTGGAGGATGATGAAAGTGTACGTCTTTTCAAATGACTATTTCTTGTCTTATGATATCTACGCTTCAGCAGAGTAATTGCATTTATTTGTTATATACATTTGTTTGTTTGTGTCTGCTGATGCAGTTTGAAGAGGAGGAACTGGATGAGGGTGAAGAGGAGGTGAGTTCACCATACTGTATACATTTTGAAGATTAATTGAGGAGTCAGTGTTTTATGAAACTTCACAGTTGAAATCAGTGATGTTTTATATCAGGGGAGTTAAACTCAATTCCTGGAGGGCAAGAGCCCTGCAGAGTTTTGTTCCAACCCTGCTGCAACACACATGCCATGTAGTTTTCAAATAAGCCTGAAGGACTTGATTAGTTGGATCAGGTGTGTTTAATTAGGGTTGAATCTAAACTCTGCAGGGCTGCGGCCCTCCAGGAATTGAGTTTGACACCCCTGTTTTATATGATATTATGTTCAACTGTGTAGCGTAACTCTGTGTTTTGTCTGAAATAGGACCAAGATGAGGAGGATGAGGACGATGAAGAGGAGGGAGATTCCAAGGTCAGTGTGAATTTAGATCATAACTTAAAGGTCCCATGACATGCTGCTTTTTGGATGCTTTTATATAGGCCTAAGTGGTCCCTAGTACTGTATCTGAAGTCTCTTTCCCGAAATTCAGCCTTGGTGCAGAATTTCAGCCACTACGAGCCAGTCCCACAATGAGCTTTCCTTAGGACGTGCCATTTCTGTGTCTGTAGCTTTAAATGCTAATGAGGAGGAGAGAGGCGGGGCAACTGCCATGCTTCGCTCGTTTGCAAGCCATGATGTCTCTCGAGGAAAAAAAAATATTGCGCTCGCCTCGCACGGTAGTAGCTCATTTTCTCATGGGCGGGCCAAATTCTCTGGGCGGGCAAAGCAGAGAAAGGGGAGGTAACCTTTCCCCGTATGACGACATTAAGGGAAAATTCCAGATTGGGCCATCTGAGCTTTCATTTTCTCAAAGGCAAAGCAGGATACCCAGGGCTCGGTTTACACCTATCGCCATTTCTAGCCACTGGGGGACCATAGGCAGGCTAGGGGAACTCATATTAATGTTAAAAAACCTCATAAAGTGAAATTTTCATGCCATGGGACCTTTAAAGGGAGAGCATATTACTTACCCCACTGGCAGATCATTTTACTTGTTTTAAGCAAAATGCACTTAATTTATTTTTTTCCGCCCTGGAAATAAGACTAAATATCTTAAGTCATTTGGCTTATCTAGTAGAAGTATCTTGATTTAAGAATTTTTAGATATTTTGACTAGAAACAAG